AAATATTAAATTTAATAAATAATATTTATAATAAGTTTTTCTTAAATAAAAATGAAATCTAATAAATAATACTTATAATAAGTTATATTTATACGTGTGTGTATTTAAAAATATTAATAATATGTACAATTAAAATATGCTTATAATTACTAAATTTAATAAATTAGTATGTATTAAAATTAAAAATAGTAATTATATTTAGAATGAAAATTAAATTCATTAAACTTAAAACTGATTACAAGAATAAAGATTATTGGTGGCGAGAACTAAATGCATGATCAATATTTTGACATGTCTTCCTAGTGTGACCAGGGGTGTGACAATAAGAATAATTTTTGACACGATTATATTGTTCTCTAATGTCCATCTCTGTTTTAATCCTGCTAGACTCGGGTCGACCCTTGAAAGTTCTTTTGAATTCAGGATTTGGCCACAAAATTGGTCTAGTGTAATATTATTTATTAAATATTTATTAAATGTAATATTTGTTATCAATATAACTAATTAAATTTATTATTTATTAACATTATAACTTATTAACTTTTTCTTATTTGAATTTTATTATAAATATAATTTATTATTTAATAATTACATATTTTTCAAATTGTTTTCAAATTTAAAATATTTTTAAATTTTAAAAAATTATAAATATAACTTATTATAATTATTATTTATTAAATTCCAATTTTATTTTCAAAATAACTTACTATAAATATTATTTATTACAATTAAAATTTATTCTGAATATAACTTATTAAATTTATTATTTATTAACATTATAAGTTATTAAATTTTTTAAATTTAATTTTTATTATAATTATTATTTATTATTTATTATTTATTCATAATTTATTATTTACTAAAAACGCAAAACAGAAAATGGAAAAAAAAAAAAAAATTGGCTGCCCAGAATTCGGTTAATGAAGGTCAGAATTCGGTTTCCGGGAAATCGAATTTTGACCTTGTACAGTGAATGGTGCTAGTTAGGGAATTAAATTGTGCAGGGTGCTATTTTGGTATTTTTTTTATAAAAATTATTACAGTAAAAAATTCGACTTTGCATGCATTATAAAAAAAAACTATTTCACAAGGTACTTCACATAAACACGGTGTTCAGTGTCCTTATGAACACTTGTTGTTCTCTGAGTTTGAGGTTTGCATGAGATGATCATGATCATAACTGCATAAACAAATGTGACTTTCCAAATTAATTATGTAAGTCTGTTCGGACCACATTAGATTATTTTGTATTCAAAATAGTTTATAATAGAAAAAGAGGGGTTATTCAATTAAGCAAGTCCAAAACATGGTAGGAGTAAACTCCTTTATAGGCTTACATTTTCCTTTATTGTCAAAGCCAACATTTTCTTTCACTATTAAAACCGGCTTCGTGATGTTTCAAGTGTGTTTCTTTTACTAAAGCTTCAAATTTTCTCACCAAGGACTAACTATTTTTTTTGTTGTTGACCTTTGATGTTTCATAACACAGAGTGAGGCTTTGGGCTGCAATTAAAAGACAAAGAAAATGAAGGGGTTTTGGAGCATATCTTGTGGTGAATTTGGCTGTTCAGAGACAGGAGGGAATCCTTGCACTTATGATTTTAAGTTTTTGAAAGATCCTTCCACATGTGTCAACCATTTGCTGTTCATTTGCATTGATGTGTTGCTGCTGCTCATGATCTTATTTACAATCCTCCAGAGGTCATCACAGAAACCATCTCAGGGTCAAATCCGGCTGCGAAGTTATTCAAATTTGCAGTTAGTGTCAGCCATGGCCAATGGCTCTCTGGGGCTGATACATTTGTGCTTAAGCATTTGGTTTTTAGAGGAAAATCTGAGAAGAACTCAAACTGCTTTGCCTCTTGATTGGTGGATGTTAGAATTCATTCAGGGACTGACATGGTTGCTGGTGGGTTTTATAGTATGTCTTCAGCTGAAACAACTTCCAAGAGCATGGTTACTCATGTTTTCTGTTGTGATGTTCTTGGTTTCTGGTATTCTCTGTGCTTTATCCCTGTTTTATGCAATTAGTAGCAGAAAACTATCCCTGAAAGTAGCTTTAGATGTTTTATCTTTCCCGGGGGTAATTTTATTGCTATTATGCATTTACAAGGAATCTAAGTATAGAGACAATGGGAAAGAAAATAATGAAAGTCTATACACCCCTTTAAAAGAAGAATCTAATAAAGTTGATTCTATTGGTTATGTCACACTATTTGCAAAAGCTGGGGTCTTCAGTAGGATGTCATTTTGGTGGCTGAATCCATTGATGAAAAGGGGTAAAGAGAAAACACTTCAGGATGAGGATATACCAAAGTTGGGGGAGGCAGATCAAGCAGAAAGTTGTTATTTTCTGTTTCTAGACCAATTGAACAGACAGAAACAGAAAGAGCCATCATCACAGCCATCAGTTTTTATGACAATAGTTATGTGCCACTGGAAAGAGATCTTGATATCAGGATTCTTTGCTTTGCTAAAGGTAATCACTCTCTCTTCTGGCCCTTTGCTTCTGAATTCCTTTATATTGGTTGCTGAAGGTCATGAGAGTTTTAAATATGAAGGCTATGTGTTGGCCATATCACTGGTCTTCACAAAGATCATAGAGTCCTTATCACAGAGGCAGTGGTACTTCCGCACCAGGCTCATTGGACTTAAAGTTAGATCACTGCTCATTGCAGCAATTTATAAAAAGCAACTGAGGTTATCCAATGCTGCAAGACTGATGCACTCTGGTGGTGAGATAATGAACTATGTGAATGTGGATGCTAATAGAATTGGAGAGTTTCCCTATTGGTTTCACCAGACGTGGACAACAAGCGTCCAGCTATGCATTGCATTAGTAGTGCTTTTCCGTGCTGTTGGATTAGCAACATTTGCCTCATTGGCGGTGATAGTTCTAACTGTGATTTGCAATACTCCACTTGCTAAATTGCAGCATAAGTTTCAGAGAAAACTTATGGTGGCACAAGATGAGAGGTTGAAGGCCACTTCTGAGGCTCTAGTGAGCATGAAGGTTTTGAAGTTATATGCATGGGAAACCAATTTTAGAAATGCCATTGAAAGGTTGAGGGGTGTGGAACTCAAAAGGTTGTCTGTGGTGCAATTAAGAAGGTCGTATAGCAACTTTCTCTTCTGGGCCTCGCCTGTTTTGGTCTCTGCCGCTTCCTTTGGGGCATGTTACTTGCTTAATGTTCCTTTGCATGCAAACAATGTTTTCACTTTTGTAGCAACTTTACGCCTTGTTCAAGATCCTATTAGAACCATCCCTGATGTCATTGGAGTGGTCATTCAAGCAAAAGTTGCATTCGCAAGGATTGTCAAATTTCTTGAGGCGCCTGAACTGCAAAGTGAAAATGCCAATAAGTGTTTCAGTGACAATATGAGGGGCTCAATTTCGATCAATTCTGCTGACTTTTCATGGGAAGATAACATGTCAAAACCAACACTGAGAAACATAAAAATGGAGGTTACACCAGGGCAAAAGGTGGCTATCTGTGGAGAAGTTGGCTCAGGCAAATCAACTCTCTTAGCAGCAATTCTCAGAGAAGTTCCGATTACTCGTGGAACTGTAAGTTTTAATCTCCTGTATGCTTATATATAGAAAACAGTTCAAAAAATTGTGATAGCTTAAGTGGCTTTTAGTACTTGGATAACAGTGCCACTTTTTTGCCAGCATCATTTAGTACCTAAACTAAACTAAAAAGGTGCTTTTTATCCTATCCTTATTTTAAGTATTTATGTTATTATTGTATAGTTAAATATCTGATTATCTTTTCTGAATTACAGATTGAAGTTCATGGGAAGTTTGCCTATGTTTCTCAAACAGCATGGATACAGACAGGTACAATACGTGAGAACATATTGTTTGGATCAGATATGGATGCTGAAAAATATCAAGAAACGCTTCATAGGTGTTCACTAGAGAAGGACCTTGAGTTGTTTCCACATGGTGATCTCACTGAAATAGGGGAGAGAGGGGTCAACCTCAGTGGAGGTCAAAAGCAGCGAATTCAACTTGCTCGCGCTCTTTATCAGAATGCTGATATATATCTCTTGGATGATCCATGCAGTGCTGTTGATGCACACACTGCCGCAAATTTGTTTAAAGTAATGAGAGAAAAAAATTCTTTTCTTCAGATACTACATTTATGTTTGCTTTTTTACTTATAGATGGCTTTGGAATGTCACAGGATTACATCATGGAAGGACTTGTAGGGAAGACAGTCTTACTGGTGACTCATCAAGTTGATTTTCTTCCAGCCTTTGATTCTGTATTGGTAATTTCCTTAATCTTAAGGCATTTGTTATGTCATTTATCTTTCTTTTTCTTCTAAATAATAACTGCGGATTAGTGATTCCAAAGTTTTCTTTCTATCTTTTGTTTGTTCAAAGTTATGAATAGACATGACAAAATCTTTACTTACAGTTGATGTCTAACGGGGAAATCATACAAGCTGCATCTTATCATCATCTGTTGAGCTCAAGCCAAGAATTTCAAGACCTTGTCAATGCTCACAAGGAAACTGCTGGTTCAGACAGACTTTTGGATGTCACTTCTTCCAAGAGACATTCAAATACTGCTACAGAGATTCGTAAAATATACATGGAGAACCAGTTTGAACCATCACAAGGCAATCAATTAATTAAGAAGGAAGAGAGAGAGAAAGGAAACCAAGGGTTCAAGCCTCACTTACAGTATCTGAATCAGGATAAAGGATATATATACTTCTCTGTGGCTTCTCTTTCTCACCTTATATTTGTGATTGGCCAGATATTTCAGAACTTATGGATGGCTTCTAATGTTGACAATCCTTATGTCAGCTCACTGCAATTGATTGCTGTGTACTTGTTGATTGGGTTTATTTCTGCATGTTTCTTATTCATCAGAAGTCTTGTTGTAGTTGCTATGAGTATTCGATCATCAAAATCATTATTTTTACAGCTAATAAGCTCACTTTTTCGTGCACCTATGTCATTTTATGACTCCACACCTTTGGGAAGGATACTTAGTAGGGTAAGCATATCAAATAGATTTTTTTTCCCTTGCTGAGAAATGCAATGAAAATATTAATATTTTGAATCTTATATCCTTGTTCAGGTCTCCTCAGATCTAAGCATCGTGGATCTTGATGTCCCATTTGGCCTTATTTTTGCTGTAGGAGCTACTACAACTTGTTATACAAATCTTGCAGTTATAGCAGCCATTACTTGGCAAGTCTTGTTTATCTCTTTACCAATGCTTTACATAGCATTTCGCTTGCAGGTATTCAACAGATTCTTCTTTGATTTATTTTTGCTGTAAGGACTTCATGTCTTCTATCTGTAATTAACATTGGCAAAAGCCACAAAACCATTATATTTAACCATGCAATGCTTATGTTTGACAGCAGATGAATACATCTTATTGATAACCTTTTTACTTTATGATGTTTATATAATTAGGAAAGTGTGAAGGCTATAATAATAACTACAAAGTGTATGATGTAGTCAAGATTCCATACTAAAGAATTAAGAAAACGTTAGTACAGGAAATGGATGGTAAGGGTGAGAAATGGATACACATTGCACAAAGTTTTGTTAACTAGAAAACAATAAAAAAGAATATGGTTTCTGAAAGTTGGATCACTGAGAATAAAAATAGTTTCCTAAAATATTAGAAGCGGTAGAAAGCATCATACATATTTTAGCCCTTCTATGAGCGAAAATTCTATAACATGAAAGCTCTTTTTTTTAACTTTATACATAATATAAAATATTCTTTGTTGGAAATAGAACCTAAAAAGAATTTTATTTTGAAGAGATATTACTATGCCACTGCAAAAGAATTGATGCGGTTGAATGGCACAACAAAGTCCTTTGTAGCCAATCATCTTGCTGAATCTATTGCTGGAGCTGTGACAATAAGGGCTTTTGAGGAGGAGGATCGTTTTTTCGCAAAGAACCTTGACCTAATTGATGTCAATGCCAGTCCTTACTTCCATACCTATGCAGCAAATGAGTGGTTGATGCTGAGGTTAGAAACAATCAGCGCAGTGGTTTTTGCATCTGCAGCACTTTGCATGGTGGTACTTCCACCTGGGACTTTCACCTCTGGTGAGTCTTCAGTTTTTACTATCTTTGAAATTAATGTCACTTTATGTTTCTTCTAATAACTTATTTATTTTGTCAAACTATAACATTTTCTCTCTTATGCAAGTGTTTTGATCTCAACATGTGATGTTATTCCAGGATTTATTGGCATGGCTCTCTCTTATGGCCTTTCATTAAACTCTGCCCTGGTATTTGCAATTCAAAACCAATGCACTCTAGCAAATCAAATAATTTCAGTAGAGAGGCTAAATCAATATATGCATATACCAAGTGAGGCCCCAGAAGTAGTGGAGGGAAATCGTCCTCCTGAGAATTGGCCTGCTGAGGGAAAAGTAGAATTACATGATTTGAAGGTAAAAATAAAAAAGAACTAACTACAAGTTATTTTAAAACTTTGGTGGCATGAAGTTATGAAAAATTAGAGTTGAACTGGAGTGCATGACTTGTTTGTTGATGCCAAACAGATAAGGTACCGGCCTGATACCCCACTTGTGCTACGTGGGATCACATGCACATTTGAAGGAGGGCACAAGATTGGTGTTGTTGGTAGAACAGGTAGTGGAAAGTCCACTCTTACAGGTGCCTTATTCCGTCTAGTGGAGCCAGCAGGTGGAAAAATAATAGTTGATGGCATAGACATTTGTTCTATTGGACTTCATGACTTGAGGTCACGCTTTGGTATCATACCTCAGGATCCTACTCTTTTTAACGGAACAGTTAGATACAATATGGACCCCTTAGCTCAACACTCTGATCAAGAGATATGGGAGGTAACCTTAACAACTAGCATTATCTTGTTTTTCAACATAAGTATTAGGGTCTTATTAGATAAATTTCTGGCTAAAATAATATTTTAGTGTCTTATAATAATTGTTTGTTTCAATTTAGTCTTATTTTTATTTTTTGTCTCAATTTGGTCCCTAATAAATTAATTAGTTGTAATGTTGGGCTTTCGTCGAAATTATTTAAACGGAGTTAACTGTTGACCACGTGGATACCACGTAGATACATAGGTGGATGTCATGCCAAATTTTTTGTAAACACCTGGAACTAGAACGGCCCGTTCTGGTTTCAGAACGGGCCATTCTGGTTCCAGGTGTTTGCAAAAAATTTGGCATGGCATCCACCTATGCATCTAAGTGACATGGTATTTTTCTTTTAAGTCATTAACGATGTACCCCAACAACAACAACCTGTTCTTGAAGAGATAGAACCTGAAGTAAAGGAAGAAGATACACATGACTAACATTTCACCACACAACCACATGCAGGGACGGATCTAAGTTAATCATTGTGGGGCACTTGCCCCCACTAAAATATTTTTCATTTTTTTTATATATAAAATATTAATAATTTTACAAAATATATATTATTAATTATATTTTAATTATGTTGTTATATCTAATATAATAAATACATTAATATTTTTTTTATATTTTATTTTATTGTTTAGTTGTTTTTTATTTTGTGATAAAATTATCTTCATTTTTAATGAAGAAAAAATTTACTTACTTCAAGAGTAAGTCTTGATAGATTTATTCTACTTAATAATTAATGTTCTATATCAAATTTATAAAAATTTAATTGTTAAATTAAAAAGCTTTTCATGTATAGATCAAATTTATAAAAAAAATTAAAAATCATGATACTTCGTTAAATTAATTCAAATTAACATATAAAATATTTTTGTTTTAAATGAGTGTAAAAATTTAGAGGACACTAAAAGAAAACAAATTAATAATTTTATTATGTTTATCCTATTAATTTTTATCATTTTATTCCTCTAATTTTAAATAAGTTGCAAAAAATTATAAAGTGACACTTAAATATTTCTTCAGATAGAAAGAGAAAAAGCAAAAAGTTATTACTCTATGTATAAGACAATTGTATGTTATAAAAATAAGTAATTTTAAAATTTTTACCATAAAAAATATTTTTCAAAATTATTATATATTTTAATAAAATTAATATAGAATATTTTATTGTTCTCACGACATTCTGGAACGGGCCGTTCTGATGTACTGGTGGTGTGTTAATTTTGCATCTGGAACGACCAGTTTCAGATGCAAAATTAACATACCAAAAGTGCACCCAGAACGGCCCGTTCTGGTTTCAGAACGGGCCGTTCTGGTTCTAGGTGTTTTTCAAGAAATTTGACATTCACGTGGCATCCACCTATGCATCTACGTAGCATCCACGTGACCAACAGTTAACTCCGTTTAAATAATTTGGACGGAAGTCCGACATTGAAACCAATTAATTTATTAGGGACCAAATTGAGAGTAAAAATAAAAGTGAAACTACATTGAAACAAACAATTATTATAAGGGACCAAAATAAATTTTTAGCCTAAATTTCTCCAAAGATACTTTAGGAGAAAAAAAAATAAAAAAGAAAATCTAAACAATTTTTTTCATAAGTTTAAATTAATTCATGCATAAGCTAAAAATAAGATTTTGAAAAAGTTAGCAGGAAAGAGCTTCTATAAATTAATTCATAACTTATGCATAAGTTAATTTTAACTTATGAAAAAATTTATTTCATTTTTTTTTTATTTTTGTCAATAAAAATATTTTTTTTTTGGAGAAGTTTACCCCAACAAACCTTTAGTTAATAACAAGAGGAAGTCTTTCTGGTGGCTTATCTTTTCTTTGCACGGCTGAAGTGGACTGATTGTTGTTTGCTTTCATGTGAAGGTTCTTGGGAAATGTCAGTTGAGAGAGGTTGTTGAAGAGAAGGAAGAGGGATTGGACTCCTCAGGTACACCTTTAAGCTTTGTTGAAACAACTTTGCAGGAATCATGTCATGTTTGATTAATTAATGGCTCATGACGAAACTGTTATCCAGTTGTTGAAGCTGGGGCAAATTGGAGCATGGGACAAAGACAGCTATTCTGTTTGGGGCGTGCCCTTTTGAGGAGAAGTCGGATACTGGTGCTTGATGAAGCAACTGCATCAATTGATAATGCAACTGATTTGATTCTTCAGAAAACAATTAGGACAGAGTTTGCAGACTGTACTGTAATCACTGTGGCACACAGAATACCAACCGTGATGGATTGCACTAAAGTTGTTTCCATCAGTGAAGGCAAGTTGCATCTTATCTACCCCTTATCCAATTGCACACATGTTTTTTTTCATATTGATCCATATATCTTGCAAGATAACTAGGTTGCAATTGAGATAGTTTTCCTACACTGCATGAGAATTATGATATACCATTTGGTTTGACAAGTAGAAAATAGATGCTTATTTATGTTTGAGCAAAGAAAATAAAATATAAGATTGTTGATTCGCAGAAAATTGTAAATCCATAAAACACGGAACCAGGTTAGATACAAATTAGAAGTGTTTTTTAGAACTTCTCACAAAAAAAAAACTATTTATTTTGAGTAAAAAAACTCTAAAAGTTTTAAAAACTTGTATTAGTGCAATTGGTTTCACATTTGAACTTCTATAGTATAAAGATGAGAATAAAACAATTGATCTTGTTCAAAGAAAAAGAAAATTGTGTGAATGTTTTCAGGAGAATTGGTAGAGTATGACGAACCAATGAACTTGATGGAGAGAGAAGGATCACTGTTTGGTCAACTTGTCAAGGAATACTGGTCTCATTTGCAGTCTGCAGAATCACACTAAAGCTATTGTCCATTTCCATTGTATAATTAAAAGGGGGAATCCTGTTCTGCTCCCCATCTTTTCTCTTGGCATCCCTTCTGTGTTTTTGTAATTTATTTTCCTAAAAATATTTCATTACAAAAACCAATTTTCAAAGTGTACTTTTGGTAGTAAGAGATGTTCTAAATTTTAATTTTCAGAATGTACTTAGTTTTTAATTTTATAATAGTAAATGTTCCACACTTTAGGTTAAAAAATTTATTGAACATATTCTGGAAACTAAAATTGAGAAACATTATAATTTAATACTTACAGGAATTTAGTTTCCGGAAGGCGAAGAATTAAGTATCGAACTAATCTGAGGTGAAAATGCAAAACCCACCTTCCGATTATCCTATCAGCGTTTCTTCCGAAAAACTTTGGTGAACCTGTATGGTCATTGACACCTCTGCAACCACCAATTATGATGTTTCAAATCCAAAAAATAATAAAAAAGCAAGGGTGCCATTAGAAAACTCTCAAATGAAAGTTGGATCATAGTATATACACCTTTTTTTTTTTTTTTTTTTTGTACATCTCCTTTTTTAAAAAAATAATTAAAATTTTAAAATATTTTTAATTTTTATTATTTTAATTTTTTTAATTTTACATTCCTAGCATTTAATCTAACATTTTTTTTACATATCTTTTTTTCCTTATTTTCACATGCATTCCTTTAATTTTTCTTTACTCCCACTTATTTTGGAAAGTAATTTTAATTTTTTTAGTTTTACATTATTCTTTTTTCCTTCATCTCTCAGGTTTCTCACTGACTTCACTATCCGCATAGTATTCTATAATAGTGAAAATATCTTTTTCATAACACTAAACTTAATGTTAAGATTTTTGGAGGGGTGAAAGAAAAGGAAGTGTTGGAAAAAAAAATGTGTGTCTAGTTTAATAGAAACTGTCATGAAGCTACACGTACTTACAATGTTGTCGCCTACCAGTTCTATGATTTAGGTGCATGCGAAAAAGTGAAAAAGGTAAGAAAATAAGAGAATAATATAAAATCGAGAGAACTAAAACTACCCACTGAAATAGGTGATGAATTAGAGGAAGACAAGATGATGCATGTGAAAACCTGGAAAAAAGAAGGAAGAAAGTGTGTGAAAAAGAAAAAATAGTAAATTGAAAGTTAGAGATGTAAAATTAAAAATTTAAAGAATAAAAAAATTATAGATATTTTTAAAAAAATTAAAAAAAAAAAAAGGAGGTGTACTTATTAAAAAAAAAAAAAAAAGGAGGTACATATATCATTAGCCATGAAAGTTTTGGATGCAGGAAAAGAAAGAGTATAGGTTGATGATATATACACCTCCTTTTTTCTATAAGGACACCTCTTTTTAAAAAAAAAATAAAATTTTAAAATATTTTTAATTTTTAATTTTTAATTTTTTAACTTTACATCCACAACATTTAATTTAGTATTTTTTTTTCACACATCTTTCCTCCTTTTTTCAATTTTATATGCACCCCCTTACCATTTCTTCATCCACCTATTTTGGTAGTATGTGAAAACTAAAAGAAAAAAAAAGTGTGTGAAAAAGAAGAAGAAAGTAGCAAATTGAAAGTTGGAGTGTAAAATTAGAAAATTTAGAAAGAAAAAAACTACAATATTTTATAATTTTTTAAAAAATAAAGGAGATGTACTTATTAAAAAAAAAAAAATAGGTGTATATATCATGAGTCTTTTGGAATTAGAAATTTTTTATTCCAGAAACAACTTTTTTAAAGTGAGTTTCTTACATAATTTTAGAAACTTTTTTTTGGAATATTAACGGTGTGTGTATTTGTTATAATAATTTCGGAAAGAACTTTCCGCAATAGTAATTTTAGTGTTATGGAAAGTACTTTCCAGAATTATTCCGACGGAAAGTTTCCGGAATAGTAATTTTAGTATTATGGAAAGTACTTTTCGGAATTATTCCGCCTGAAAGTTCTTTCCAGAATAGTAATTTTAGTATTCCGGAAAGTACTTTTCATAATATGTACAACACACCTCCTCCGAAAAATATTTTTCAAAATAATTTTTTTTTGTTTCAAATAATATTAAGGATAATTTAGGAATTTAATATTTTTTTTAATAAAGGAGGTGTACTTATTTAAAAAAAAAAAAAAAAAAAAAGGTACATATATCGTTAGCCATGAAAGTTTTGGATGCAGGAAAAGAAAGAGTATAAGATAATAAAAGGCCCAAGCCCAAGGTGTGTGCAAAAAAGAGTTTGGGCCTTTACACTGGAGGAGCTTCAGTAGCAAGCCAGGGAACTGCTATATGCCTATATCTAATGCCATTCATCACTCTGACTCCAGTTTTTAAGTGAGAAAACTGTCTTAAATTATTAAGATTAATTCTCATCAATTATATCTAAAAACTAAAATGAGTTCAATAATTATAGTATAAAAAAATATCGACTGAACTTATACTATTTATCTATAATATATAATATATTATTTTTTACTTTAGTGCAACTAGTACTAAAAATAATAATTCTCGAAATATTATATATGAAATATATTTTACATTAAAAATCAAAATAACATTCTTAATAATTAAAGACATCTTTCTCGCTTAAGAATGAACACAAACTTATAAGAAATGTCAAGGATATTTTGATAATTTTATTAAAAAAAAGGCAATTACAAACAATTTATTCAAAAATATTTTAAATATTATAATTAATATTTTAAAGTGTAAAATAATTTTTCTCGGATTTTACAATTGTATTTCAACTAATATAGGATTTTTGGTTAGTTTGGTAGGAGCATTTGATAATATTTTTTACTCTAATCCAAAAATATGTTTGAAAATAATATTCGGGTAGTACTAGATAACTGAAGTCAATGACGTGTGTCAAGATTATGAAACTCACTTTAGAATGTGAAATACAAATTTATGAATAATTAGAAAAATATTGATAGAAATCAAAATGTTATAAAACCAAAAGTAAAAAAAAAAAGAGAAAAAAAAATATGACGGATTCTGATATGCAAATTGTTCACTGAGAAGTCATGTTTTTCTGACATGAAATGAAACGGACATAATTTGCTTTCTGGCTAACACAATAATATTTACTAACTTATTTCTTCAATTTTTTATTTTAAACAAAATTAATTTTATACATATTAAAAATTATTTATTTATATTAAATTTTACTAATATCATGTTATTTTTCTTAAATTTTCTTTGTTATAAATATTATTAAAAATGTAATATAATTGAAAGGTCATACATAAAAACAATAATATTTTAGAAAAAGTATTATTAAATAAGGTAAAAATAATTAAAATTTACTTATATTTAAAATTTAAAAAATATTTTTTTATTAATTATAATAGAGAATAAAGAAAGTATTTAAATATAATTTATATGTTTTGTTTTAAAAAAAGTATCGAAAATAAATAGTATTTTTTTTATAGAGAAGTTATAAAAAAAATTATACTAGATTTAATAAGTTATAAATTTTGAGGGTCAACGCAGTTAATATTTGGTATGAATTTTCACCTTTTTTGGTGAGTTTAAATCTCCTTCATCACTTTTATTGTTTAGTGGGCAATCAACCCTCTTTAACAAATTTTTTTTATTATTTAAGAGTTAACCAATAAAATTACTCATAGTTTAAGCATATGTAGTAAATTTTTATTCTAATATGTCATTGCCACTCTGCCTAATATTAGTAATAAGAGCATATTTTCATTTGACTAATCTCAAACAATTTTCTCTAGAAAAATTCATATTTTAAAGGAGTTTTCACAGAGTGAAAATCCTCTTTTTCTAAAAACAACAAAAATAGGTGCTAAATTTGACTAGTTATAATACTAATTCCTGTTCGACTCAAGTAAATTTTCTTTTTACAGATGATAAATGTACTTTAAAATCGAAAACTCTTATACTAATTTAACATCATTAGGGCATTTTATTAATTTAAATATCCCACACATGAAAGTTAAGAATGAGGAAAAGCAGCTCAGAATTTTCTATTCATTTAATTATTAATTGATGCAATGAGAGCTAGCTATAATATGTCATGCCTCGTACCTTTTGTAGGCAAAATTTAACAATAAAATATTAACAACTTAATAACTAAAAATGTGGTTTTTTGGATTATATTTGGTCATGATACATCTTGCATTTCAATCCCGTGTCTTTCTTTACCACTAAAACTGTGTGGCCATAATTCATCCATTTTTCTAAACAGCTCATGTGCGTAGACCAACAATTGTTTTTTATCAGTACATTAAGTTAGAAACATTGATAGGGACAATCAATTCATTTTACGGTTGATCTTTTTATTTTATTTTTTAGCTTTCAGTTTAATTTAGCTTCCAACATCTATAATGAGCTCACACTTTGAGAAGTTAAAATACAACTACATATAGTGATAAGATGAAAATTTACAACTTAATTTCAAGAATATTAATTCATCTAATTTATGTTATTTTAAAATAAATTTGACGTGTTATCATGTTAACGAAAAAATTTATATGTTATTTTATAATTTTTTTCTTTACTTTATTATATTTTTATCTACGGAAATTAAAAATTATAAAATTTAAAAGTTTCAATCCACAATATCACTCGGTCCTTTCTCTTTTTATATGTTTCTCAATCTTACTTATTATACTCTTTTCTTATCTATAGAACTTAAAAGTCTCAAAATCTAAAAGCTTTCGACACCACAAAGGTATGCTTGGCATGATATCATAATTTTACATATGCAAAACCAATTTCAACTCAACTTGAAATGTAGTAATGATCCAACACATGCGACACTACAAACCAACTAAGTATATCACAATCAACTCAAAAAAGTTGTCAAATTCAACATGCAACAAAGATCTTATAAAGAATTAATAACTTTCATCAACAATCCAAAACTCAACCTCCCACATGCTTCACACTTCAAATTCATCAAAACGGCCACACATCAGTGAGATTTCACACTACATACAACTTAGAATTGGTTCACCAACTAAGAATTCATCTAAAATACAACAAATTTCAACTTCTCTTATCTTGGGGTGACACAAAGCCGAGGTATAAGAAGCAAAATAAACTATAGTTGATCTTCAATGCAACTATGACAATGGATCTACAACTCAATTCAAGACTTCTAAACACCTAAAATCACCAATAAGACAACATAATGAGGACTAGAGAAGGGAAAAGAGAAGATTAAGTGAAAAATGAGCTTAAGGACTAGAGATATTCTCTATAAAATCCTTTATCTAGAAAGCCGAGGAAAAAAGTTTAGAAGGTTTTGTTCAAAACAGATTTATTTGATTATGTTTTTATTAGAGATTATTGTTGCACTTAGTTATTCTGTGATATATAACCTCTTCCAAAATTTGAAACTACTTAACTAATTATTTAGCATGAACTCAATTATTTCAATTAAAATATTTTTTATTTATAATTATTATATATGCAAGATAAAGAGTGTCTTATTAGTCTACCAAAATTAAAATACATTATTACACTAGATATTAAAATAAAAAAAATCAAATAAGTTAATATTAATTACTTTTATTATTTTAACCTATAAGCATGTGGTAATGTTAATATCTAAGTTACATATTTTTATTTATTTCTGAATTAATGTTATTGTCGATTTGTATTTTCAATAATACCTAGCACATTTTTAAGTTTCAAGATTAATACAATTGTGTCTTTCAATTTGAGGAATAAAGTAATCATTTATTCTTAATATCTATTATTTATTTATTTTCAGCATATTATATATCACGTATATTAAATTTATATTTTATTTTTGTAGATGTCGTTTAATAATGGAGCTAGTGTCTGTCAATAATTTTCCAAACTTTTATCTACATTTTATTCAGATACAAGATTTTGATTAAATAAATTTTTTTAGTTCTTATTAGGTAAATAAGGTTATTTTATGTAAAAAAATAATAATAATAAGAACTAAAAAAATTTATTGTAATTTAAAAAAAAAACTTGTACATTTTACAAAATTAAAAACATTTTTAAGCTTAAATTTTTTAATTTAAAATTAGTGGTAAAATCAGCTACAACTGTTGGTAGAGCCGTAGCACACTAGGACAACATAGGGGTACATTTAAAGAAGAAAAGAACACGTGTCAATAACCGACAAACCTACTGCTTACATTGAGTGATGTGACATGACATGTCATCGACCTTGGAAAATTGACATTTTTTTATTTGGAGGGAAATTGACATATAAAGATTGTCCCAGCCAAGCATTTTTAACTTTTCCTAAAATCATGGACACATTATACTTGACTCGAGTTTAAAAAAACACATTAAACAATCTTTAGACTATAATCATAACACTATTTTTTTTATTACTAATTATTGATTACACATTACAAGTACTTTTTTTTATATAGATTAATAAAAATGGAGATGAATATACATATACCTATCATTTACTTTTTGTAAAATTTACTTGATAATTATGTAATTCTTACTCTATTTTAAATTTATTTCAAATGAAATTTAATTAATATAATTTTATAATTTTTATTCTATGTTAAAATTCTAGTTTTTTTAATATTTTATTAATTTTTGAACAACACAGGATGAATACAAGCATAACTAATATCCAACAGAGACAAAAATAAAAACATAAGTCTCATACTTGTCGAATATAAAAACGAAAATAAATATAAAATACAAAAACGAGAATGATAATAATAAAACTCATACTTGCTCCATTGCGACCCCTATTCACACAATCAAAATGCCAAAGACCCAATTGTTTTTTATGAGGATCTCTTGCATCTTTAAACAATGTTTGGTTGATGAAAGATGGGAGTAGGAGAAATAACTTTTTTTATTTGATACATTTTTAGGAAAAAAAATAGAATTTTTTTCCTAATATTCTCTTTTGAGATCAATAGTTCTTGAGAGAAAAAGATATTTTGAAATATTTTTAATATAATATTTAAAATATTTTATTTGTATTTTTAAATTAAAAATAAATCACTTTGAGAGAAGATATTTTTTATTTGTATTTTTTTACTTAGCTATGAAATAAATTATATTAAGATGAAAATATTCATTTTATATATATGTTCACAATATTTGAGAAAATTAGTTACTATATTATATACAATTTAATGGTTACATTTTTTAATTAAGGTTATAAAATTAAAAAAAATTAAAATTTCTTTCATTTTCTTGTGAATTAAACAAGAGTAATACTACTTTAATAAAAAAAAAAAGTTAAGTTTAAGATTTAGGATTTAAGATTTTAATTTTTAGTTATTAGTTGTTAGTTTTAAGATGTGTGTAGAAATTCCTCTCTTCTCTCCCTTTTTTTTTTTTTTTATCTTACCAAACAAATTTTTTAATCTTTTTTCATTTACCACCGATGTACATTGAACATTTGCTTTTAGTTGACTGGTTGGAAATCAACTTCTAATGAGGGTGGTTTAGGTTATTTTTTTTCTTTTCCTTTCTCTCATGTGTACCAAAAAGAAATTAATTCTTTGTCTTTGTGTATTTTTCTTTAATAATACATATAATATTCATAAATTGATATGAAAAGTAATATGTCTAATAAATATATATTATATTTGATAAATTTAATAAATATATTATTTAATAAATATAATATTTTATAGTATTGAAAATTTCAATTATATAAAACAATCAGTTAAGTAATACTATATAAGAAAGAAAGGAATCACTTTATTTATTTTTATAAAAATTGTATTACAGTTAATAAATAATAATATATAAAGAACATATTTCTTATTCATATATATATATATATATATTTAATTAAGTGCTTATATAATTTTTTTTATTTCTTTTTGTATTTTAGTTTAATAATATATATTGAATGCACATAATTTGACACTAAAAGCAATATATTAATAAATATAATGTTCACAGTATTATCAAAGTTAATTATATATAATTTTTACTAAATAAATTAATTAGTAGTATATAATGAAGAATCACTTTATTTTTAGTTTTGTAAATACCATATTATATTCAATAAATATAATAAACAATATTCTGCACCAAAATATGTTTTTCATGATATTTATAAATAATATATTAATAAAATTAAATATTATATTAATTTTTTTATATATACTCATATATATATATATTAATATTATATTTATATATTATCATATTATTAATTAAAACAAAATTAAAAAAAATTAAAGAAAATGATAAATTTTATTATTTTTTAATTAATAAAAAATTTAATTTGACACTCCAAGTTCCCACTGGACGCACGGAAAGGGAGTGATAAAAGATAAAAAAAGGCATGCTAGGCATAACACTTTTTATTATCATCGACTGAAATAGATTGAAAATCATTTATTTGATAAGTTTCATAATTTATTTAGATTATTTTGTTACTTTAGTAAAGTTACGTAATTGAGCGGAGAAGAATGACTTGTCTTTTATAGTTAAGCCCGGCAGTATGATGACAAAAAGGGGTTGATTGGACGGCAAACTAAAATTCAAAGCAGATAAATTAACTAGGTTAATCATCAATACATTTTCAATTCTTTTAACCTAAATTTTTTTTTATATTGATAATTAATTATATATTTTAATTATATTATATTATTATAAATATATTTACTTTTAATCTCAAGCGTGTGGTTCACCAGTAAGGGTTGATTCACGCTTAAGTAAAGTCAGAGATTCGAATCCTGTCTTGTGTATGCAGCCGCTTTAAATTTTGGGGCCAGCTATCTCACCTTTTGAAGTGTCTCCTTCGTAAGGAGATTCGTCACTGTTATACTCCAGGGACGAACTAAAAAAAAAAAATTTACTTCTAATAATGATATAAGACAATTAAAATATATAATTAGTTGTCCGTATAAAAAAAAATTCACTAACAATATATAAATAATTCACTCAATTAATTATACATTAAAATTAAACCTTTTGAAGCAAATGAAATGAAACATGAATCGAATCAGAAGAAAACACAGTAACCGACGTGAGCAATGACGACATCGTTCCTTCCTCTCCTTTGTATTTATAAATGGATGATGCATTCACTCACTCTTTAAGCCACACCTTCTTCTTCTTCTTCTTCACCTCTTTGCTCTGTTTTCACGTTCGCGGAACAAGGAAGAAGGAAATGATCGTTCAACGTCCATTACACTTTTTCTGACCAACAACGCCTTCCATGCCGATTACTTGCTTTTAGCTACTCATTATTTCAGGTTTGTTCATTCCCATTTTTCTCTTATCTTATTAAATTAAACATGTCGTTTCCATTCCTCTATTTGTATGTGTCACACGAGAAAGATTGTAATGAAAAAAATATAGTTGGAATGATAGATATAACAAGTAATGTCGTACTAATAAATAAAACAAGTGGAGTTTTAGCGTATGTTACATGACCACTTACTATTGTCTATGCTTGGTCTCTTTACTTTTATTTAGAGGTGGCAAAAGATTTGCTCATTATTGCCTTTCTGTTTTTGTTTTGTACAGAGTTTGAACAGCAAAGAGAGGTCAAGGGAAATGGCAGGTTTTTGGAGCATGTTTTGTGGGGAATCTGGTTGCTCAGAGGATGGAAGAAAGCCTTGTAGTTATGATTATAGACTTCTCATTGATCCTTCCACCTGCATCAACCATTTGTTGATCTCTTGCTTTGATGTATTGCTGCTTATCATGCTTGTACTCATTATGGTCCAAAAGTCAACGTTAAAACCATCTCGGGGTCAAACACGGGGGGTGCGAAGATATTCATATTTTCAGCTAGTTTCTGCCATAGCCAATGGTGCTCTTGGGTTGGCGCATTTGTGCTTAGGCATTTGGGTTTTAGAGGAAAGGTATAGGAAAACCCAAACTGTGTTTCCTCTTAATTGGTGGTTGCTTGAAATCTTTCACGGATTAACATGGTTGTTAGTGAGTTTAACGATAAGTCTCAAGCTAAAACAACTTCCAAGAGCTTTGACAAGGCTTTTTTCCGTTCTCATCTTATTGGTTTCTGGTATTTTCTGCGCTTCATCCTTGTTTTATGCAATTAGCAGCAGAGAACCGTCCCTTAAGATGGTTTCAGATATGCTATCTTTTCCAGGAGCAATATTGTTGTTATTATGCACATATAAGGAATCCACGTATAAGGACACTGACAATGAAGTTGATGAAAGTCTTTATGCACCTTTAAATGGCGAGTCCAATAAAAAGGATTCCATTAGATATGTAACCCCATTTGCCAGAGCTGGATTCCTCAGCGGAATGTCATTTTGGTGGTTGAATCAGTTGATGAAAATGGGAAAAGAGAAAACACTTCAGGATGAAGACATTCCAAGGTTGCGGGAGAAGGATCGAGCAGAAAGTTGTTATTTGCTGTTTCTGGACCAATTGAACAGACAGAAACAGAAGGATCCATTTTCAGAGCCATCGGTTCTGAGGACAATACTTTTATGCCATTGGAAAGAAATTTTAATATCAGGATTCTTTGCACTGCTTAAGGTACTTTCTCTGTCTTCAGGACCTCTTCTTCTGAATTCTTTTATATTGGTTGCTGAGGGTAATGAGAGTTTCAAATATGAAGGTTTTGTGTTGGCCGTATCACTTTTCTCTGCAAAAATCATAGAATCCTTATCACAAAGGCAGTGGTACTTCCGCTGCAGACTTATTGGCCTGAAAGTTAGGTCGTTGCTAACTGCAGCGATCTATAGAAAGCAATTGAGGTTATCCAATTCTGCTAGATTGATGCACTCTGGTGGCGAGATAATGAATTATGTGACTGTGGATGCTTATAGAATTGGTGAATTTCCCTATTGGTTTCACCAGACTTGGACAACTAGCTTTCAGCTATGTATCTCATTAGTGATACTTTTTCGTGCTGTTGGGATGGCAACAATTGCCTCCTTGGTGGTGATAGTAATCACAGTGCTTTGCAATACTCCACTTGCAAAGTTGCAACACAAGTTTCAAAGCAAACTTATGGTGGCACAAGATGAGAGATTGAAGGCTTGTTCTGAGGCTCTTGTGAATATGAAGGTGTTGAAGTTATATGCGTGGGAAACCAACTTTAGAAATGCTATAGAGAGATTAAGGAATGAGGAACTCAAATGGTTATCTGCTGTGCAATTAAGAAAGGCATACAACACCTTTCTCTTTTGGTCCTCCCCTGTTTTGGTCTCTGCTGCTTCCTTTGGGGCATGTTACTTTCTTAATGTTCCATTACATGCAAATAATGTTTTCACTTTCGTGGCAACTTTGCGCCTTGTTCAAGATCCTATTAGAACCATCCCTGATGTTATTGGGGTAATCATTCAGGCAAAAGTTGCTTTTACTCGAATTGTAAAATTCCTGGAGGCACCTGAACTTCAGAGTACTAATGTCACAAAAAGGTCTCTCAATGACAATATGAGGGGTTCAATTTTAATCAAGTCTGCTGATTTTTCATGGGTAGATAATGTATCAAAGCCAACACTGAGAAACATAAATTTGGAGGTTAGACCTGGGCAAAAGATGGCAATCTGTGGAGAGGTTGGCTCAGGCAAATCAACTCTCTTAGCAGCAATTCTCAGAGAAGTTCCTAATACTCGGGGGACAGTAAGATTTTATTCCTTTTTGGCTATTATAAACTTTTCCACTATTGATACTTTTATTGGTTATCACTTATAACATGTACTTCATTTTCACTTTCTGCCAGCAGTGATATCTAGCACATATATTCAACTTACAATGGTTTATTTTTCTGTCCTTCCTTAGAGTAGTAAAGTTATTAATTAATTTGATTCATAGATTTTCTTTTCTGATTTACAGATACAAGTTTCTGGGAAGTTTGCCTATGTTTCTCAAACAGCATGGATACAGACAGGTACTATACGGGAGAATATATTGTTTGGAGCAGCCATGGATGCTGAAAAATATCGACAAACACTTCATAGGTCTTCGCTATTGAAGGACCTTGAGTTGTTTCCTCACGGTGATCTCACTGAAATAGGCGAAAGGGGGGTCAACTTGAGTGGAGGTCAGAAGCAGCGAATTCAACTTGCACGAGCTCTATATCAGAACGCTGATATATACCTCTTGGATGACCCTTTCAGTGCTGTTGACGCACATACTGCCACAAATTTGTTTAATGTAATGAAAACTTCTTTTCTTCAAAATACATTTATTCTTGTTGTTATTAGCTTTTTAGTGATACATGGCTTTTCAACTGGACAGGAATACATAATGGGAGGACTTGCTGGGAAAACAGTCTTGCTTGTGACTCATCAAGTTGACTTCCTTCCAGCATTTGATTCTGTTTTGGTAAATTCTTTAATCTTAAAGCATCGGTTATGTCATTGTTTCATTTAATCTATATATATTATTTATTATCTATAATATAATAATAATAATAATAATAATAATAATAATAATAATAATAATAAAGGCAATACTCCAGTTTGGTTTGTACTTTATTTTTTTTTTACCTATTTTATCCCTTTAAGTACGTAATATACTTTTTCTTTTCTTTTCTATTTAATCTTTATTCTCTCTTCTTTTAACTTCTGAATTGTTAAAACTGATTGCTGTAACAAATAAATGTGGTTTCTATTTTCAACTCAATTTTTGTGTTTCTTTTCTTCAATTTTTTTTATTAAAATCTCTATATTCATCCAAAAAGTAAAAAGTCATACTTGCATGGAGTGACTGCAAGGTCTTGCACTAGTTGTAAATTTTTAATGAGTTTGAAGCTATGATTCTTTTTTTTTCTTGTTATCTTCAGCTGATTGAAAATCAGCATGGCGTAATTATTTCATTGTTTGCAGTTGATGTCAGATGGGGAAATCATAGAAGCTGCTCCTTATCACCATTTGTTGAGCTCGAGCCATGCATTTCAGGAACTCGTGAATGCACACAAAGAGACTGCGGGTTCTGACCGGCTTGTAGATGTTACTTCTTCTCAGAAGCATTCAAATAGTGCTAGAGAGATTAAAAAAACATATATGGAGAATCATTTTGAAGCATCTAAAGGCGATCAATTGATTAAGCAAGAAGAGAGAGAAAAAGGAGACCAAGGGTTTAAACCATATATACAGTATCTGAATCAGAACAAAGGATATATATACTTCTCTGTTGCTGCTCTTTCTCACCTAACATTTGTAGTTGGTCAAATATTGCAAAACACATGGATGGCTGATAGTGTTGACAATCCTCGAGTTAGCAGTTTGCAATTGATTCTAGTTTACTTGTTAATTGGAGTTATTTCAACAATATTCTTGTTGGTGAGAAGTCTTGTTGCAGTTGCTTTGGGTCTTCAATCATCAAAGTCTTTATTTTTTCAGCTACTGAACTCTCTTTTTCGTGCCCCCATGGCATTTTATGATTCCACTCCTTTAGGACGGATACTCAGCAGGGTAAGCATATTAAACAGTTGTTTTCTCCCCTTTTAGTGTAATGCAATGTGGACATTGACATTAATGTTTTGACTGTTATTTATTTGTTTAGGTCTCCTCAGATCTCAGCATTGTGGACCTTGACGTTCCATTCGGCTTTCTATTTTCTGTGGGAGCAACTATGAATTGTTATGCTAATCTTACGGTTTTAGCCGTTGTAACTTGGCAAGTCTTGTTTGTCTCCATACCAATGATTTATTTTGCAATCCGCTTACAGGTAATTTACAAATTCTTCTTTGGGTTACATTGCGCTGATAATTTGTTGTTGTTTTAAAAATTCATCTGAGAGTATCTTTTTTCAACCGGGCAATGTTATGTTTTGACATTAGATGAATACATGACAAATAGATTTCAGACCTGTATTTTTAGGCAATGCAGGTTTTTGAAACTTATTCTATCTGGAAAATTTTGAAGTTTATAATAATAACTGAGAAGTGTCTGATACAGTCAGGGTTTGACTTACAAACTAAGGTAACATATATACAGGAAATGGTTAGTCGAATATTGATACACTGGAAGTTCTGCTCACCAGAAAATAATCATAAAGAAAATTCATAATATGGAAGCTCTTTTATCTTCTTTTTTTTTTATAGTAATTTTGTAATCATTTTTCATAGATTTAAAATTCTTTTAGTGGAAAGTAGACATACTAATGTAAAAATTTACTTTATTTAGAGATATTACTTTGCCTCTGCAAAAGAGCTGATGAGGATGAATGGCACAACAAAATCCTTTGTGGCTAACCATCTAGCTGAATCTGTCGCTGGGGCTGTGACAATAAGGGCCTTTGACGAGGAAGATCGTTTTTTCAAGAAAAATCTTGATCTAATTGATGTCAATGCTAGCCCGTTCTTCCATAGTTTTGCAGCAAATGAGTGGTTGATTCAACGGTTAGAAACAGTCAGTGCAGTGGTTCTTGCATCTGCAGCACTTTGCATGGTTGTACTTCCACCTGGAACTTTCACCTCTGGTGAGATTTTTGCTATCATTGGTTTTGAAAATGCACTTTCAGTCTAATGCAAGCATTATAATTTCAACACATGATGTTATTCCAGGATTTATTGGCATGGCTCTCTCTTATGGCCTTTCACTTAACAATTCCTTGGTATTTTCGATTCAAAATCAATGCAATATAGCAAATAATATAATATCAGTGGAGAGGCTAAATCAGTATATGCATATACCCAGTGAGGCCCCAGAAGTAATAGAAGGAAATCGTCCTCCTGTAAATTGGCCTGTTGCTGGTAGAGTACAAATAAATGCATTGCAGGTATTTGTTACTATTTTAAAACTAGTTGCAGTGTCCTGAAGCATGGGAGTTGAACACTTTGAACTGAAGAACATAATTTGACTTTTGATATCAAACCAGATACGTTATAGGCCGGATGCACCACTAGTACTCCGTGGGATCACATGCACATTTGAAGGACGACACAAAATTGGTATTGTTGGCCGGACAGGCAGCGGGAAGTCCACTCTTATAGGTGCTTTATTCCGTCTTGTGGAGCCAGCAGGTGGAAAGATCATTGTTGATGGCATTGACATTAGCTCCATTGGTCTCCATGATTTGAGGTCGCGTTTTGGTATTATACCTCAGGATCCTACTCTTTTTAATGGCACAGTCAGATACAATTTGGACCCCTTATCTCAACACTCTGATCAAGAGTTATGGGAGGTAATACACGTTTCAATATTTTTCAGCATGTTAAGTCTTTTATGTTTGTTTATCTCTACTTTCCTTGGTACATTTGAACTGATTGTAGCTTCCATATGAAGGTTCTTGGGAAGTGTCAGTTGCAAGAGGCTGTCCAAGAGAAAGAAGAGGGATTAGACTCTTCAGGTACACTTCATGTTTTGCTGTTACAACTTTGTAGTGACGAATTCGTGTTTAAGTACTAATAGCTAGAAACAAATTATTATACAGTTGTTGAAGCTGGAGCAAACTGGAGCATGGGACAACGACAGCTATTCTGTTTGGGGCGTGCTCTTCTCAGGAGAAGTCGGATATTGGTGCTTGATGAAGCAACTGCGTCAATTGATAATGCAACTGATTTGATTTTGCAGAAAAGCATTAGGACAGAGTTTGCAGATTGTACGGTGATCACGGTAGCTCACAGGATACCAACTGTGATGGATTGCACCAAGGTTCTTGCCATCAGTGATGGTAAGGTTCACATTAACCCACTGCGAGTTTACTAGACTTAGTTTTTTAGCTTTGATGATACAAAATTAGGAAGATGTAAAATCTGAGGTGCTTGATCGCACATGTGAGTCATAGTCTTTAAAGAAAATAAAAGAGTGATTGTGATTTCAGGGAAACTGGTGGAGTATGATGAGCCAATGAAGTTGATAAAGAGAGAAGGATCACTGTTTGGGAAGCTTGTCAAGGAATATTGGTCTCATTTCCAGTCTGCAGAATCTCATTGAATCTGAACATGTATTTTAGGGTAGCTCTTCTGTCTTCTTCTTTTTTTTTTCTGTAGGATTGGCAAGAAACCAAGAAAGTGTGCTTAGGATAAAATGTATAATATTTAGACAAACTCTAAGGCCTGAGAAGTGGGAAGGAATGAGGGGACTAAGAAGAAAATGGTGGAAAGGTATTCAAAATCAAATGTAACATTTTCTAGAATGACGTGATCTATTTCACAGTGGAAAGTTGTATTATATCAATTGTCGTTTAAATTGAACATTTTTGGGCGACACTTCACGTTGTATAATATGGTGGTCGTTATTTTCTGCACAATTAATCTCGCAAAAGGCATCCAAACTATTTAAAAATATGCATACTGCTAGAGTGAAACAAACAACTGTAGTGCCAAATATAGTCAACCAAAAAGTAGAAAACTTTTCTATGTGGTGATGTTCCCCTCGTCTGTAGAAATATGTGAGTTCTGTGTTGCTCAACATTTTTCGATTCACAATTGGAAAAATTATTGGATATTATCATAAACCCTGCTATTCCAACTAATTTTAGCCATTAGTCTGGCATAGTCTTCTTACCATGAGCAAAAAAATTGAGATGGTATTCTTATTGTTTTCACTTGTCCAAACAAATTCAGATAATTTTTGTTAATTTTTTTTCCTTGTTATTTATATCCATTCAAATAATACATTTTTTTTCTCTTTTATTTTGTTCTTCCTATTTATTTTCTTTCTATTTGATTACTCTATTTTCACTCTCAACCCAAACAAAATATTAGTATTCAAGCATGCCTCATACACAAAAACTAAAAAAAATATCTAAGATGAATATTATATGCGGGAATTAAAGCTATCCCGTCTAGTCTTTTTTTATACGTAACAAATAAAAAATGTTACTTTTTTTTTTTTTTATAAGAACCAAAAGAAAAGAAACATTTTATCTCTCTATCTTAAAATAAAAATAAAAATATAAGAAAATAGTTAATATAGTGAGTGATTATTTAAAAAATGTAAAGTATTTAGTTTTTATATAAAAGAGAGGAAAAATTTAAAAAAGAAAAGTAATTTAATTTTGTAGGGATTGTGTATATAACTATTAATAAAGGGAATATAATTTTAAATAATTGATTTTGTCTCCATTTATTTTTTGAGCTTTTTTCTCCATTCCGTTATATAATAATTCCTTATGGATAAAGGATAAAATAAAGAAAAATGTAACTATTTATATAACTCTTAGAGGTACAAAGTGCTTCGATTCTAGTATATATAAAAGTGATATTGTCTTTATTAATTAATAGTATAATTAATCTATAATGTAATTTGTATTAAACAGGGGTATACAAAAAATTCAAATTAATCCAAATCGATCCGTTACCGATCTAATTTGTATTGAAAAATTCGATCCATTTTGAAAAAAAAATCTGAACTTTATAAAATTAGTTCGGTTATCCTATCCATTTTTACAAAGTGAATCGGTTCAGTTCAGTTTGATTTTTCAAAAAAACCAATTCATATATGAGTGAAAAATGGATAACTGCACCGTACCGAACTAATCTAATTTTAAAAAAAATTGATGCATATTTAAAAAAAAAATCAAACTGATTCACTTTATAAAAAATGGATTAACCGATCTACTTTTAGAAAATAGTTCAATTCAATTCGGTTTGTATTTTTCAAAAAATCGATTCATGAACACCTCTAGCGTTAAATATTTTTAATAAAAATACTTTAAATTAAAGTATTTTTTTTAATTTATTAAGTATTCAGTAAAGCAAGAGTCGCAGTAATGACTAGTTGGTTTGTTTTTTGGTAAAGAATGACTAGTTGGTTTTGATATAAGGATGGAAGTATATTAGAAAATATTTCAATAATGAAGTGAGTGAGACTGAGAGGTAGCATATAATAATGCAGAGTCATTATGACATGGTGCTTGGCTATGACTATGAGCCTCAGATCATTGCCATGTAAATGCACATTCCTAAGCCATCACTCCTCAGTCCTCACCTTCTTCACCTTCCAATCCCCAAAATCAACATCATATCTCGTGAAACAGAACTTTAACAATACTGACCAAGAGAGAAGGAAACTTCTGTTTTTTCCTTTTGGGTTGTTTAAGGCAAAGTTATCCATTACGGTTTTGGCTGAGAGACAAATGCAAGATTTTTGGCAACCGACCATCTCAGGTTTCGTGCCTTACATTTGTTTATTTTACTTTATGATATCATATTAAATTAAGTCTCGTTTTCCATTCATCTATTTTTATATGTCTCCCCCTTTTTATTTTTTATTATTGTTATAGCAATAGTTCAACGCGTCGTCGCACTCAGAACAGCAACTGGGCATTTGTTTTTTATGCTTTTCTTCTATTTCATGTTTCCTTACACAATGTGTGTACAAATCTTTAGATTCTCTCTCACCATCTTCTGTCTGAACTTAAGTTATTTTTTTATTATTAAGAGATATCATTATCATTAAAAAAGAAACTTCTACAATACTATAACCTTGTCGTTTTACATAAGAAAAATTAACTAACGTTATACTAAGATCCTTATTAATAAAGAGTCCCAAAAAAATACTTAAAAAGGAAAATACAATTTTTTTATTACAATTATATTTTTAATTTTAAAAATTGGTAAAAAGAAGAAGGTAAATATGTGTCTGTGTCTATAAATATGTCCAGCCAAGTAAGGTTGCACCATAATAGTCCTCAATTTTTCGATTAGTTCCACCATTATGAATTAATAAAATATACTTATTATAACTCACAATAACTATGATTATTATTTTATAACAGGTTTTTATTATTAAGAAATTAATTAAATTATTAGAGTAATTAAATCAAATATAAATTTTTGTATGAAACCACATAATATTTTTCTGGACACCCCGACAGCTCTATTGCAGGAACGCTGATAATTTTGAACTTTTAAATATATTTTTTCCCAGTGAAATTTATGAGTCTCGTTAAACTAGTGTTTCCTATTTTGAAATTAGTGATTTTCACGTGAATTTTAGGTTAGCCTACAAGAATATGATAATGCTAGTCTTCCACTTTAGAAAATAAACTCGTGCTACCCTTGCCCGTTTATGATTTCCCATTATCATATCTACTACTGCATGTTGGTGATAAGTGACGACTGTATGTGCACATTTGTATTTCCAAGTTCACTTCTCTTTAGAATTAGAGTCTTGATCTAACTAGTATCAAAAAATTATTCATATTGTCAAATGGAGAGGTAATATATATTTTCATTATTGTCTAAGCTTTAAATCCTTTTATTGTTGCTCTTAATAATCAACTTAGCGATGGACATGTTTTCAAATGTGTTTTTCTTGCTGAAGCTTGTTGATAAACTATTCATGGATTTTAGTTTCAATGTTTTAGAACAATGGTTTGTTCAACAAAGGCATGATTTGATTGCCCTTTCTGTTTAGTTTTCTACAGAGTTTGAGGAGCAAAGAGAAGTCAAGGAAAATGGCGGGTTTTTGGAGCGTGTTTTGTGGGGAATTTGATTGTTCAGAGGCTGGAAGAAAGCTTTGCAGTTATGATTTGAGGCTTCTCATTGATCCTTCCACCTGTGTCAACCATTTATTGATCTCTTGCTTTGATGTACTGCTGCTTATCATGCTTTTATTCATTATGATTCAGAAGTCAACATTAAAACCGTCTCATGGTCAAACACAGGTGCAAAGATATTCATATTTTCAGCTACTTTCTGCCATGGCCAACGGTGCTCTTGGGTTGGCGCATTTGTGCTTAGGCATTTGGGATTTACAGGAATGTTTGGGGAAAACACAAACTGTGTTGCCTCTTAATGGGTGGTTGCTAGAAATATTTCATGGATTAATATGGTTGTTTGTGAGTTTTATGATAAGTCTTAAGTTGAAACGACTTCCAAGAGCACTGTCAAGGCTTTCTTCTATTCTAATCTTCTTGGTGTCTGGTATTTTCTGTGTTTCATCATTGTTTTATGCTATTAGTAGCAGAGAAGTATCCCTTAAGGTAGTTTTAGATATTCTATCTTTTCCCGGGGCAATATTTTTGTTATTATGCACGTATAAGGAATCCAAGTATAAGGACACTGACAATGAAGTTGATGAAAGTCTTTATGCACCCTTAAATGGTCAGTCCAATAAAAACGGTTCAACTAGATATGTAACCTCATTTGCCAAAACTGGATTCTTCAGCAGAATGTCATTTTGGTGGTTGAATCCATTGATGAAAATAGGAAAAGAGAAAACACTTCAGGATGAAGACATTCCAAAGTTGCGGGAGGAGGATCAAGCAGAAAGTTGTTATTTGCTGTTTCGGGATCAATTGAACAGACAGAAACAGAAGGACCCATCCTCTCAGCCATCAGTTTTGAGGACAATAATTTTATGCCATTGGAGAGAAATTTTAATATCAGGATTCTTTGCAGTGCTTAAGGTACTTGCTCAGTCTTCAGGACCTCTTCTTCTGAATTCTTTTATATTGGTTTCTGAGGGTAACGAGAGTTTCAAATATGAAGGTTTTGTGTTGGCCATTTCACTTTTCTTTGCAAAAACCATAGAATCCTTATCACAAAGGCAATGGTACTTCCGCTGCAGACTTATTGGCCTGAAAGTTAGGTCATTGCTAACTGCCGCAATTTATAGAAAGCAATTGAGGTTATCCAATTCTGCTAGATTGATGCACTCTGGTGGCGAGATAATGAATTACGTGACTGTGGATGCTTATAGAATTGGTGAATTTCCCTATTGGTTTCACCAGACTTGGACAACTAGCTTTCAGCTATGTATCTCATTAGTAATACTTTTTCGTGCTGTTGGGATGGCAACAATTGCCTCCTTGGTGGTGATAGTAATCACAGTGCTTTGCAATACTCCACTTGCAAAGTTACAACACAAGTTTCAAAGCAAACTTATGGTGGCACAAGATGAGAGATTGAAGGCTTGTTCTGAGGCTCTTGTGAATATGAAGGTGTTGAAGTTATATGCGTGGGAAACCAACTTTAGAAATGCTATAGAGAGATTAAGGAATGAGGAACTCAAATGGTTATCTGCTGTGCAATTAAGAAAGGCATACAGCACCTTTCTCTTTTGGTCCTCCCCTGTTTTGGTCTCTGCTGCTTCCTTTGGGGCATGTTACTTTCTCAATGTTCCATTACATGCAAATAATGTTTTCACTTTTGTGGCAACTTTGCGCCTTGTTCAAGATCCTATTAGAGTCATCCCTGATGTTATTGGGGTAATCATTCAGGCAAAAGTTGCATTTTCTCGAATTGTAAAATTCCTGGAGGCACCGGAACTT